TTACAATTCACCACTATGGATAGTACCGAAGAAACCTGATTCCAAGGGAAATCCAAGGTGGAGAATGGTAATTGACTTTCGGAAACTTAACGAAAAAACGATAGGTGATGCATATCCATTACCCAACATTGTGGACATTCTAGACCGCTTGGGCGAAGCCAGATATTTTTCCACATTTGATCTTGCAAGCGGATTCCAGCAAATTGAAATGGATCCGAAACATCGTAGCAAAACCGCATTTACAACACCTCACGGTCACTACGAGTACATTCGTATGCCTGAAGGGCTCAAGAATGCTCCTGCAACATTTCAACGGTTAATGGATCAAGTATTGCGCGGATTACAGGGAATAGAAGCTCTAGTGTATCTCGATGATATCGTAGTTTACGCAAAAAATTTGGTAGAACATGGATAAATGTGAATTTCTGAAAACCGAAGTAACCTATTTAGGACATATCATTAGTTCCAAAGGAGTAAAACCGGATAAAAAGAAAATAATCGCTGTAAAGAATTTTCCTCGACCGCAAAACGCAAAGAACATAAAACAGTTTCTAGGACTTGCAGGTTACTATCGTCGATTCATAAAAGATTTTGCCGCAAAAGCCAAGCCATTAACAGAATTATTAAAGAAAAATAGCAAATTCATTTGGGGAAAAGAACAAAAACAGAGTTTCAAAACTTTACGTAAAGCATTGTGCAAGAGCCCTATACTGCAATATCGGAATTTTGACAAACCATTTACTTTAACGACAGACGCATCTGACTTTGCAATAGGCGCAGTACTTAGCCAAGACGTAGACGGACACAACTTGCCTGTAGCTTACCTCTCAAGATCGTTAATAAAAGCAGAAATAAATTATTCCACCACAGAAAAGGAATGTTTAGCAGTACTGTATGCCGTATTACATTTCCGACCATACTTATACGGAAGAAAATGCACCTTGGTTAGTGATCACGAACCCTTAAAATGGATAGACTCTATAAAGGATCCTGGACAAAGATTAGTGCGTTGGAGATTAAAATTGCGCGATTACGAGTACGATTTCGTCCATAAACCCGGCCATTTGAACATAAACGCTGATGCACTTTCACGGAATCCCATTAAAGAATTACATGATACAAGTTCAGATTCAAGCTCAAAAGAAACTACCGATAGTGAATTGGAATGTGAAAAAATTCTTCCTATCCGAAAACCAACCGTCAAACCAAAAGTAACAATCCCATCCGCATCCCGTACAAAACCTACAGTGGAACCCCGAAGACCTGTGGGCAGGCCACCAGGCAGAAAGACACAACCAAAACTAGATAAACCTACATTAGATAAAAATGCTATTTCAACAAGAACGCGTTCGATATATATATATATCTCGAAAACTACGCATCTGATCAAAAAATATCATAGAACATAAACAGTAGGAAACTTAATTCTCTACAAAAAAGGTCTCTTAACATTTTGCCATAGCTCGCACCGTTTCCGAGATATTTGCAGATTTAGCTCAAGGAAAGGGGCCTCACGGACATATTCCTAGATACTTCTTCTTCTTGATGTCGTTCTTCTGCACAGCTAAGCCGGAAGTGGTATTTGCAGTTCGGAATAGTGCACAGTTATCTCAAAGAAAGGGGCCACGGTGTTTCTGTATCTTTATTATGTTGGTGCGGCTTCGGAACTTTTAAATATCTCGATATATCTCGAAAACTACGCATCTGATCAAAAAATTTTATAGAACATAAACAGTAGGAAACTTAGTTTCCTACAAAAAAGGTCTCTTAACGTTTTGCCATAGCTCGCATCGTTTCCGAGATATTTGCAGATTTAGCTCAAGGAAAGGGGCCTCACGGACATATTTCGAGATATTTCTTCTTCTTGTTGTTCTTCTTCTGCACAGCTAAGCTGCAAGTGGCATTTGCAGCTCGCAGTAGTGCAGAGTTATCTCAAAGAAAGCGGTCACGGTGTTTCTGTATCTATATTATGTTGGTGCGGCTTCGAAACTTTTAAATATCTCGACATATATCGAAAACTACGCATCTGATCAAAAAATATCACAGAACATAAATAGTAGCAAACTTAATTTCCTACAAAAAAGGTCTCTTAATATTTTGCCATAGCTCGCATCGTTTCCCAGATATTTGCAGATTTAGCTCAAGGAAAGGGGCCTCACGGACATATTTCGAGGTATTTCTTCTTCTTGTTGTTCTTCTTCTGCACAGCTAAGCTGGAAGTGGCATTTGCAGCTCGGAATAGTGCGGAGTTATCTCAAAGAAAGGGGCCACGGTGTTTCTGTATCTTTATTATGTTGGTGCGGCTTCGGAACTTTTAAGTATGTCGATATATCTCGAAAACTACGCATGTGATCCAGAAATATCAGAGAACATAAATAGTAGGAAACTTAATTTCCTACAAAAAAAGTCTCTTAACATTTTGCCATAGCTCGCATCGTTTCCGAGATATTTGCAGATTTAGCTCAAGGAAAGGGGCCTCACGGTCATATTCCGAGATATTTCTTCTTCTTGTTGTTCTTCTTCTGCACAGCTAAGCTGGAAGTGGCATTTGCAGCTCGGAATAGTGCAGAGTTATCTCAAAGAAAGGGGCCACGGTGTTTCTGTATCTTTATTATGTTGGTGCGGCTTCGGAACTTTTAAATTACTCGATATATCTCGAAAACTACGCATCTAATCAAAAAATATCATACAAGTTGAATAGTAGGAAACCTAATTTCCTACAAAAAAGCTCTCTTATCATTTTGCCATAGCTCGCATCGTTTCCGAGATATTTGCAGATTTACCTCAAGGAAAGGGGCCTCACGGACATATTTCGAGATATTTCTTCTTCTTGTTGTTCTTCTTCTGCACAGCTAAGCTGGAAGTGGCATTTGCAGCTCGGAATAGTGCAGAGTTATCTCAAAGAAAGGGGCCACGGTGTTTCTGTATCTTTATTATGTTGGTGCGGCTTCGTAACTTTTAAATATTGCGATATATCTCGAAAACTACGTATCTGACCAAAAAATTTCATAGAACATAAACAGTAGGAAACTTAATTTCCTACAAAAAAGGTCTCTTAACGTTTTGCCATAGCTAGCATCGTTTCCGAGATATTTGCAGATTTAGATCAAGGAAATGGGCCTCACGGACATATTCCGAGATGTTTGTTCTTCTTGTTGTTCTCCTTCTGCACAGCTACGCTGGAAGTGGCGTTTGCAGCTCGGAATAGTGCAGAGAGATCTCAAAGAAAGGGTTTACGGACCCAAAGATAATTCATCGAAAGACAATTCACCGTCGCCACTTCACCGAACGCACATTTCACCGAATGAGACAATTCATCGAATTTTTATGATCTTATTTTGTCTTCCCGATTCCTACAAAGTGTGATCTTTTAAATAACAACGAAAGCGTTGCCGGCCGCCTCGTGGCGGCCGGTTTTAAATATATGTCCAAACCTAACCTATCACATCTATGTGTGGCTTTAAGCGTAATACCAATTTTCGATGAACTGTCAATTCGGGGAATTGTTTTCGGTGAATTGTCCCAATCGGTGAACTGTCCCTTCGATGAACTGGCATTCGATGAATCATATCTTTCGGTGAATTAGCATTCGGTGATTTGTGTTCGATGAATTGTCTTTCGATGAACTGGATGTATACCGCACCAACATAATAAAGATACAGAAACACCGTGGCCCCTTTCATTCAGATAACTCTGCAGTATTCCGAGCTGCAAATGCCACTTCCAGCTTATCTGTGCAGAAGAAGAAGAAATATCTCGGAATATGTCCGTGAGAGCCCTTTCCTTGAGATAAATCTGCAAATATCTCGAAAACGATGCGAGCTATGGCAAAATGTTAAGAGACCTTTTTGGTAGGAAATTAAGTTTCGTACTATTTACGTTCTACGAAATTTTTTGACCAGATGCGTAGTTTTCGAGATTTATCGAGATATGTAAAAGTTCCGAAGCCGCACCAACATAATAAAGATACAAAAACACCGTGGCCCCTTTCTTTGAGATAACTCTGCACTATTCCGAGCTGCAAATGCCACTTCCAGCTTAGCTGTGCAGAAGAAGCACAACAAGAACAAGAAATATCTCGGAATAAGAGAGGAAATGAGAAAAAGAGAAGAGGAATGGATAGAGCAGAAAAAGGACCTGGAGAGGAAGATGGAAAGGATGATGAAGAAAATGGAGGAGATGGAGAGAAGAGAAGTGGAGGATGCGAGATGGAAAGCAGTAGAAGAGAAAATGCTCAAGGTAGCGCAAGAAGCAGCAGGAAATGGAAGAGAAGAGTCCGGAGGGCCTAAAATAGAAGTGAAACTGAGGGAGATAGGAAGAAAGTTGGAGAGAAAAGAGAAAGATGAGAGAAGGAAAAACATAATAATCAGAGGAACAAAAACGAAAAGAGAGGAGATGAAAGGAAAAGCAGAGGAGATTTTAAAGGTCACGGGGGTAGAGGATGCAATAGAGGAGGTGAAAGCGGTGGGACTAGTGGAGAGGGGAAAAAAATTATATATGATACAAGTAAAAGTAAAGACGGCCGAACTCAAGAGGAAAATAATGGAGAACAAAAGGGCGCTAAAAGGCAGAGAAGAGAGAATAGAGGATGACCTAACATGGGAGGAAAGGAGAACGCAGTGGGCACTAAGAAGAATCGCAAGAGGAGAAAGAGAGAATGGAAAGAACGTATGGGTAGACTTAAAGAAAATAAGAATAGAAGGAAAATGGTGGAAATGGGATGACGAAAAGGGAGTACTAACGGATGGAGAGGGGAAAGAATGGAAACTCGCTCAGGAAGGGAATCAGAAGAAGGGGGAAGAGGGGAAAGGGACATAGGGCGCGATAAGAGAGTGGTGGACGTTAAGCAGCAGAAGGAAAAAAGAGAAGAAAAGAGAAGAAGAAAGGTGGAAGAACTAGGCGAGGAAGAACGCAAGGAGAGCAAAAGGGAGCATGAGAGAAACGGATCAGAAAGAGAAAAGAAGCTGGAGAAAAAAGAAGGGACAAAAAGAGAAGAAAGAATGGAGGACAGAAGCTGGACAATAGGATTCTGGAACTGCGCAGGAATAGCAAATAAAGACGTAGAATTTTGGGAGACAATAAAAGAGTGGGACGTGGTAATACTTATAGAAACCTGGCTGGAAGAGAAAGGTTGGGACAGGATAAGGGACAGGATGCCAAAAGGGTACAGGTGGGAAGCGCAACTAGCGAAAAGGAAAAACAAAAAAGGGAGAGCAATGGGAGGGATGATAATGGGGGTGAAGAAAGGTATCCTGGGTAAGGAAGGGGGGATCAGAGTTGAAGAGGAGAAAGAGGGCATAATAATGGCAGAATGCAAAGGCGGAAAGCTGAACTGGAGGATTGTGGGGGTATACGTAAACGGAGACATGGAAGCAAAGATAAAGGATCTTAGACCATGGTTAGAAGAAATAGGGGAAGGGAGAAGGACAATAATAGGGGGTGATTTTAATGCGAGAACGGGAGAGGAGGTGGGAAGCAAGAGAGAGGAGGAGGACGAAGAAGGAGAGGAAAAAAGAAGGTCCAAAGATAAGAAGAGCAATGCCGAAGGAAACAGATTACTAGAGACCCTGAGGGAGACAGGATGGACTATTCTGAATGGAACCATAGAAGGGGACAAGGATGGTGAATTTACATACACAGGGGCCAGAGGAGAAACGGTGATCGACTACGTTATAGTAGAAGAGGAAGGAAGGGAAGAGATCATAAGAATGGAAGTGGGTGACAGGATAGAGTCAGACCACCACCCCCTGATAGTAGAAATGAGAGGGGGAGGAGAACAATACATAATAGAAGAAAGGAGAAGGAAGACAACGCCAAGAGGGGACTGGTCGGAACAGGGGAGGAAAGATTTTATAGAAGGAATAAGCTGGAGGAGATCGAAGAACAAGAAATTGAACGCTGATATGAAAATGATACTAGAAGAGTTCAGGAAAGGACTTGAGAGAGGAAACAAGAAAGGGCGCAAGAGCAAGAAAAAATGACACCATCAGCAGAAATATGATACCCCCCTCCCCGCCCCCTCTCCCCGCCCCATGACCTTGAAGTGAAATTTGACACCACCGTCAGCAGAAATATGATACTCCCCCGACAACCCCCACCCCTCCCTCACCCCATAACCACCCCCTCAGCAGAAATAACCACCCTATGACAACCTCCGCCCTATAACCACCCCACAACCACCCCCTCAGCAGAAATAACCACCCTATGACAACCCCCGCCCTATAACCACCCCATAACCACCCCGTCAGCAGAAATACCCACCCTATGACAATCTCCACCCTATAACCACGATATAACCACCCCCTCAGCAGACCAGACCCCGCAGTAATTTGACACTATCAGCAGAAATATGATACCCCACCCCCCCATGACCTTGAACTATTTTTGTCTTATCGGAAGACGGCACAAGGCCCTAAGTGGAAATGAGATTTTTTGTTGGCGCAGCAAATCTGACGCTGCAATTCGCGACTATAGAAGGTAGAGGTTCTGCTCATGACCTTGAACGAATTTTTCTACGTCTTGGAAATGCGGTTTTGTTGACGCTGCAGAGTGAACAGCAATTAAACACTTTCGTCAATGACAGCCTCACTTTAATAAAATGGGAGAAAATTGGCAATGTGCGTCATATGTAGTTTGACAATTAGAAGTGCAAGGATACTTAACGCGTTTGTGGAAAAGAGAAATGGAGGCCACGTTACTGCAGGAACTCGAACGCGTCACCGAATTATTGGCGCAGCGGGCGATAAACATCAATACTGAAGAAGAGCGTTGTGATTGCTTGATGCAATGTGACCAGTGCATCGAATTGATAGACGAACGATTACAAATGGGAGACGCTTTATCAGTCGAAGGATGGCGAGACATAGAAGCATACAAAGAAAGAATCGACGCCTTGCGTAGAATATTGTATAGTGACAATGATCATCCCAGTGGTCAAAAGGCAATATTACTAAACGAACTTGCTTGTATAGAACAACTTTTGATACAACGTATTGTAGCCATAAGTAGTAACGACGACCGAAACGCATGTCTGGTGCAATGCAATCAATGCATTGATTTAATGATAGAGCGATTGCAACTGGAAAAGGACTTATCAACTGGTTTGAAAAATAGTTTAACAGCCAGGATAGCGAGATTTAAATCGTTAAGAGCAGAGTTACACGGATCTGTAAAAATAGGCGAAGGTCAAAGGAGAACAGATGCTGAATCACATGCATCATCATCATCTCTTATCTGGGAGGATGTAGAATCAGCTTTCCATAACCGGATAACTACAGGAATTATAATCAACACCGAGCATATTGAACCACGAAACTTTTTGAAAGATGCTAGAAAAATAGTATTCCAACGTCTAGCGGAAATTTTCCAAAATCATTCATGCATAAAAGTGAATACGGTGTTGTATGGGGAGTTTACCGCTAATAATAAAACTGATGTGAAAAGTTTCAGTGTGAGAAATAAACAATTATTTTCTACATCAAACTTGAACGATTGGTATGACAAATACGTTGTGAACTCAACTTTAACACTGATGGAAGAATTTCAGGAACGGGACAGTGGTTGGGCAATATCGAAAATTCTGCATTTGATGTTAAATATCAATAAATGCAATCTGATGCATGTTGGTTGTTACACCGATATACCAAAAACAATCAAGGACAAAAGAGCAGTAGTAAATGTGACAGTTGACGATGATACGTGTTTTGTCAGATCGATAGTTGCAGCATTATATCCCGCCCATGTGAATGCAAATCGACCATCATCGTATCCCAACTATGACACCGTTTTAAATTTGGAGGGCATCGCATTTCCAATAACGCTTAATCAAATACCAAAATTTGAGCGCCAAAACGATGTTTCGATAAACGTTTATTTCTGGGACATGAATGTGAAAAGGTGTGCTCCGCTCCAACTCACCACTAACAAAAGATTTCGTCACGTTAACCTGCTGATGCTTGAAACACCCAACCGTAATGTGCGCCACTTTGCATGGATTAAAAATCTTTCCCGGCTTGTTTCAAACCAGCTCAGTGCACATAAGAGTAAAACTTATATTTGTGACAGGTTTGTATCACGCCATTACCATCTATTTTAGTGTATGCGTTTGTTCTTTTTGTACTAATGCAGTTACTTTGTTTATATGCAGATGCCTTCACTACTTTTATGCGGAAGAAAAGTTATTGAAACATACGAAGGACTGCATGAAGATGAACGATTGCGCAATCATTCTACCATCGAGTGAGGATAAAATAATAAAGTTTGATAATTTTTGTCACTGAGAACGTCATCCATTCATCGTGTACGCCGATTTCGAATGCATGCTTAAGAAGATTAACAGTAACATCAATCAAGGACACTGCAATGCATACCAGCAGCATGAAGCATACAGTGTGGGATATTATTTTCACTATTCGTACAACGCATCGGTGTGTGAGTATCGCGCGTATCGGGGTCCTGACTGTGCTGAATGGTTCGTGAATGAACTTGAAAACCTTGTAAGAAAAATTGCACCATTATTTAATACGATTGTGCCCATGACAAATTTGACGGATGATGAAAGAGAAAATTATATGAATGCGACGCATTGTTATATTTGCGAAAAACCGTTCGACATCGACGAAATAAAAGTTCGAGATCATTGCCATTTCACTAGCCGTTACCGAGGACCTGCTCATCAGGGATGTAATTTAAATTATAAAAATAAACGTTTTATACCAATAGTGTTTCATAACTTATCGGGATACGATGCCCATTTTGTTGTCACGTCCTGTGACGCATTCTATATGCATGTAAATAAACATAAGTTTCCTTAATTTTGTGATTGATTTCACAATTAAAATCAGTACAATATATGTATTGTCACGTCCTGCGACGCATTCTTGAAACTTCTATTTCATCACCCAAATTCTTTAAACTTCTATTGCACCATCCAAATTCATCGTTCCGCAAATTCTGAGTGAGCAACTCAGCCGAGTCGTCGTACGGCGAGAACGCTGACGATCCGAACGAGGTGGTTCACCCGAATTGCCAAATCAAATGTCGACCTCATTTATCAATATAAAATAACGCGACCGGGCCCGCCCGCACGCAGTCAAATTTTACCAATAGTTCTCGAAAGAAGTTCTCATAGGCGCAGTTCTTATCAGTACATCTAAACGATTCATCGACTTACCAACATAGTACGAAACCGAAAGTATCGCGATCAGACTAAATCACTCAGACCATCTGTAAATCATTAAATCCGCGAAGATAATCCGCGAAGTACCGCTCAGAGTTCGGTATTCTAGAATCTACACGACTCTGCTACGAAGCTCAGTATTTCGACAGAGCAAGATTCCGGTAATATCAATAAATTTAACCCAGTCTAGCGTGTATGACTCTGCTACGAAGCTCAGGGCTCCGACAGAGCAAGATTCTGTAAGACTCGATTGTAAACGTGCGCGAATCAAGAACTGTACCAGTAACGAATAAACATACATTGTGATCGGAAGTGCGTGATCTTCACTCGAAACATCTACCCTACCGTTCCAATACCTGGACGACACACCACCACAGGGTCCGTCCATAGATAGGTTCTACTCATCCAGCGAAAGGTAAGTGAGAACCTCTATCTACCTGACAACGTAGATCAAATTACATAAAGTACGCCGAGGACTCAGTGAGAGAGAGAACTCCGCGACTTTACATTGTAATAAAAGAATTGGTAACGATTATCGAAGGCTCGACATCAGTCTTGCCAATTACAAAAAAAAAATATATTTCATTTTTAACGAATTTAAAACGTTACAAAATTTCGCTTCGATTTATAGATTCATTCAAATTTTTAAATTCAAGTTTAGATAAATTGAGTTCGTATTTAGGGAAAGACGATATGACGATTTTACGGTCACAATTTAATTTTTTGAACGAGATAAGATTCGATTTGCTTACACGAAAAGGCATCTTTCCATACGATTATGTTACCGACTACATGAAACTGAACGAGACGACATTGCCGACATGTGACAAATTTTATAATCAACTAAGCGACTGTGCCGTTTCACAGCAGGATTATGACCACGCGATAAAAGTCTGGTGCAGTTTTAATATAAAAACACTTGGCGAATATAGCGATTTATATCTAAAAACAGACGTTTTATTATTGGCCGACATTTTTGAAAATTTTCGTAGCAGCTGTTTGAGAAGTTACAAATTGGATCCTGCATATTACTATACTTTACCTGGTTTTACGTGGGATGCAATGCTGAAGCACACGCGTATCGAATTAGAATTATTGACAGATATCGATATGCTACTTTTCATAGAGCGCGGCATACGCGGCGGTTTAAGTCAATGTTCTAATCGATACGCAAAGGCCAATAATAAATACATGGATTCGTACAATTCCGAAGAACCATCGCGATATTTAGTATATTTCGACGTTAATAATTTGTATGGATGGGCAATGTCGCAGTATCTACCTTACGGCGAATTTAAGTGGTTAGACGATAATGAAATTAAAACTTTTAACATTCATGCGATATCCGAAAATTCGAACATTGGATATATTTTGGAAGTCGATTTGAAATACCCGCTAGAATTACACGATAAGCACGCAGATTTACCTTTTTGTCCAATACGCGAGAAGCCTCCTAATGTCAAACATGAGAAACTACTCGCTACAGTTCAGGATAAGCAACGTTACATCATCCATTATGGCAATCTTCAACAATGCATAAATCATGGCTTAAAAGTTTCTGTAATTCATCGCGTTTTAGAATTTAAACAATCTCCATGGCTTCGCGAATACATTAATTTAAACACACAACTTAGAACTGTAGCTAAAAATGATTTTGAAAAGAACTTATTTAAATTAATGAATAATGCAGTCTTTGGTAAAACTATGGAGAACGTTAGAAATCATGTAGACGGGAAGGTAGATACGGGGCTGAGGCCCTGATAGCAAAACCAAATTTTCATAGCAGATCAATGTTTTCGGAACATTTGGTTGCAATAGAAATGCGAAAGTTGGAAATTAAATTTAGAAAACCCATTTATGTTGGTATGTGCATTCTGGATATATCAAAAACACGTTTGTACGAATTCCATCATGATTATGTTTGGCCGAAATTTAAACATCTTTGTAAAATATTATACATAGACACAGACAGTCTTATATACGAACTGGAATGTGATGACATATACGATGTAATGAAACGCGATATACATCGGTTTGACACGAGCGACTATACCGAGGACAATGTTTACAGCATGCCATGAGTAAATAAAAAAGTACCAGGATTAATGAAGGATGAAAATAATGGGTGTATAATGACTGAGTTTGTCGGATTTCGGTCGAAAATGTATGCTTTGCGCGTAGAGGGCAAACGGGACACGAAAAAAGTGAAGGGCGTCAAAAGTAACGTAGTTAGGAAAACTATTTCCTTCGATGATTATATACGTTGCTTGTATGATCGTTTAGAAGTGCATCGTGTACAGAGATGTATTCGTTCAAAATTGCACAATGTATATTCTATATGTGAAGAAAAGAAGGTGCTTAGTCCCTACGATGATAAACGATTCATAATTCCACAATCCACAAGAACATTGCCTTGGGGACATTATAAAATAAATAATTATTCGTAAAAAACATAATTTATTCTTTGCTCCACGAGTATCTTTATAAGCCTGTAGGGTTTCGAGTTCATGCAAATCTTGCAATTTCATGAGAGAGACCGGAGTTTTTACTCATCTCAGGACTTAGAGTTTGGAGGGGATGTTTTCTCAGTGCTTTATAAACCGACGCGCGTTCGTTTTACTATTCATTATTTGCTGATAACAATGAGCGTGCCACGGTTAGAGAATCTGGCGTTTATGGCCATTATGGAACATAATCGTAAGTAGTCTTCAACAATTACCCGTAGTGTGTAAATTTTATTTATTTTTAACTACTTGTTTTTTTCATCTTAACAGCAAAAATGATGCCGCGATTCAAAATAACGCGGTTGGAGAAGGTCGCGGCGCTGCACGCAAAGTGCAAGGAGCGGCAGGAGCGGCGCCGCGAATTTGAATCGCGGTGTGCGGCGACATGGACGGAGGTCGATTTATTCGACCTCCGATATTTGTTTGGGGAGGAAATCGATGTAAGTTGCCAATCCGTTTTTATTTTTGATTTATTAGATTTTACTGTGTATTAATGTGTATTTTATCTGTTATAGCCGGACTGGTGGTAGATATTCCCTCCCCCGCCACCATCGTAGTTTATACTTTTAGTTTATACTTTTAGTTTATAACATATATTCCTAGTTGATACTCTTAGTTTATAACACTAGTTTATACTCTTAGTCTATAACACTAGTTTATACTTTTAGTTCATAACACCAGTTTATACTCTTAGTTTATAACATATATATTCTTAGTTTATACTCTTAGTTTATAACACGTATATTCCTAGTTTATAACACATATACAATTATATATAACCGTTATTAGTGTAATTGATTCTTTACCTCACCCTTCCCCATACTTCATTAATGTAATATAATATGAAAATAAAAATTATATAACCGTTATTAATGTAATTTATTTTGCCTGACCCTTCCCAATAATATAATTTATGAAAATAAAATTATATAATCGTGATTAATGTAATTTATTTTGCCTGACCCTTCCCAATAATATAATCTATAAGGACATGTCCTGACTGACCCGTCAACGCCCAGCCCAAACCCCCGAACCTAGAAACATGGTGCAAATCGGGATTCAAATTCTCGAAGTTTTTTTTATTTATAAGAGCGGGCGAAGCTGCGAATACACGAAGGCTTTGTATTCACTAACTCGCACGTGTTCGCTGATCCAAGTATCTTTATACGCATGCAGGGTTTTGAGTTCTTGCAAACCTTTTAATTTCATGTCGATTCCGAGGTGTTACAAACATGTAAGATATCTGGCAGATTATTCTCAGAATGTGTCAGCTGTTTTCATTGTTAGAAATGAAGGGAGATGATTCCTCTTTGCTTTATAAACGCATCAACGCGACGTTTATACCATTAAAATTACTACCATTACAATGGAGACATTGACAAATTTACAAATTCTCGCATTAGAGGCATTCATCGCCTCTCAGCGTAAGTAGTTTTTCAATAATTACTTTTAGTGCATAGATTTTATTTGTTTTTAATTCGTTTTTTTTGTTAACAGCCGCTGTCCTGCGATCAATGGGCTATGTCATTGCATGATCAAATATGAAAAGCTTCCCAAATATTCGCCGGAAGCGGGTAGAGAGGCGGCGGAATTCCGCAAAAATATGGGCGGAAGCCAATTTTTATTTACAGCAGTTGTTTCGGGAGTAGTTGGATGCGAGTTACTTGCCCGTTTTTTTTGTTTTATTAGATTTTTACTATGCATTAATCGATATTTTATTTTATCTGTTATAGCCGAAGGCGGGGAAGATAATAATAATAATAATAATAATAATAATAATATAAGAATATAAGTAATATAAAAATATAATAAATTATATATATAACCGCTATCGATGTAATTTAGTTTTGCCACACCCTTTCCCATACTTCCTTTAATAAGTTATAAAATATCGGTGAGAAAATAAATATATAGTAATGATAAAATAAAAGAATTTTTTTGTCACACCCTTCCCCATACTTATTTTAATAATATAGTAAAGTTATAAAGATAAAATAAAAGTATATAACCATTATCAATGTAATTTATTTT